TTCCCCCTTCTCCCAGCCCCTTCGTTTTGCTATCTAAGAACAAAATAAAAGGAAAAACGGTATGGTTGTGATCGTAATTTCATTTGTGTAAAGAATGCTTTTTGGCCTGTCTAGAGCTGCCTCTGATTTCTGAACTCAATCAAATGCTATAATATCCTTACCGCAGATATCGACGAGTGTTTGCTGTTCACCTATAAGTGCGAAGATGAATCCATGCAATGCGAAAACAAACCTGGCTCTTACAAGTGTGTTTGTGGGGAAGGACTGTATTGGATTGACAACAAATGCCAAGGTGAGTTCAGTGCAACGAATAACGCGAAGGAAAACAAACTTTCTTGACAGGATCGATGAAGATAATTTGCTCTAAGTGCTAGGATTCGTCCAGTTATATCTCAGTGTTCGAGATTTTATGTTTACTCGTGAAGATATTCATCCTGTCGTGGTTGCATTGATGTCTTTTTAATCTGTCAAGATGACGCTATTAACTACTCGATTGAGTTTGTTCAACCTTAGAAAGGTTTGGGGGCTTATTTTATTTATTCATATTATTATTATTTTTTTTGTGTGTGGCAATAGCTTGGTAATATACATAAGAAGAAATATCATTATACAGATCCCTACTCGAAAGGCAACTTTCAAGCTGCCATTGTGTTGTTATATGTTTGTTAGTCGCACTCGAGAAGTCTTGCCTTAATCGCTAGATAAAGAAAGTGTGTACCCTTTTGTGCATTCTTCATATCAGGCGAACTAAACAAGACGTTTAGTGTTCTGAGCTACTATGTGTTATAAACTTGTGTCAACATGCAGTGTACTAGTTTTGAAGTAAATGTTTGTCTATTTGCTGACAGGACTTGAAAAAGGAGCTGAGCCTCCTCCACCTCCCCCAGCCGAAGAGCCGCGAACACCATCTGCCGAGGAGAGAAGCCAGTCTGTCGAGTTGGAGATACAGGGGTTAAATGTGTCTCAGGTTGAATAATATTTTCTCGTTTTTGTATGTATGGGTTATTGACTAAGCGTGAGGTCAATATGGCTGGATATTGGCCAAGTTCTTTTTTTGCATGTTAATGGCTGAGACGGAGTCGAGGCCCACAAACACAAAAAGGGTTTATCGTACGGAAAAAGAACACTACTTTCTTGTTAGCCACAGTGGGTAATCCCGAGTGGGCAAGATGCCGCCATCCTGCCAGCTCGAGTAGCCAGTCACAGCGTAGGACTCAGTTCATCTTGCCCGCTCAGGGAGCTAGCCATATAATAAAAAGATTTATTCACTGCTCCAGCGGAAGGGATGAAATCCGGATGAAGGTGAAGTCCGTATCCACAAAATGCTTCCCACATTGGCATATTTGTTAGCTACCGTAAAACTGTATCGTCAATTAGTTAAATTGTCGATTGATTTTCACTACCTGAACCTGAAATGAAAATTTGGGGTACTGAGTAAATAAAACGCTGCACGCCATATAATTGTCGCAGTCGTGACAGGTGTCTCGTTTTAGAGATCTGCCTTGGATAATCTTTGCTATTTCTTTTCAGTGGAACCAACCCCTACAAGAAGCATTCAAGGTTGCAGTTGCAACGGCAGCAACGAAGCACTGTTCAGAAACGGACGACTGCAGATCGACACCTACCAGGTACGTTTTTCTGCTCTTGTTACTTGTCCATTTTCTTTGATGTTTCTTCATGCGTTCATTTGTAAGTGCGTCTTCTTCTTCTTTCCTTCATTCGTTTTGTTCACATTTTTCCACGGTTATTAGTTTGAAAAAAGTATCATTTAATTATGCGAGATCGTGACCTTTGTTGATGTATTATTGCCGATCCCAAAGGAAGCAAAGTTTTGAGAGTACTGTTCATCCTCAGTGTTTAAACGTCGTTCCGAAAGAATAAAGTGGCTCGACTTGAATATAGGCAAAGAAAATCGTCTGCAAAAAGATCAGAAAAAAGAAAAAAAAAACAATCAATCAAAAAACAACAGAGAATTTAAAATCACAGTGAATCGGTGATGTGGTAGTTCATGTTTTCTTTTTCTACCGCTTGTGCAGTGCTCGCCGTAAGAGGGCAGCTTCGTACATCATCTTCACAGAAGACCAAGTTCACGTTCTTCCAGGCTACCCAAAACAGATCTCTACGAACCCTCTACTGGCAAGCTTAGCATTTTACTTGCAGTTTCCACCCGGCACTTCCAATGTTGATGCCATCTCGAAAGACAACCTCGTTTCCATTGTTGAAGGGTCTATTGCAGACATTTCAAACTCCATTAATGGTAACATCTCGAGCGTGCAAACCCTCGTCGCTGAAACATCAACAACGGTAACATCAACAGTAGCTCCATCTAGGCCCACTGAAAAAGACTCTAACAAGATGCCTTACATCATTGCGGGTTCCGTAGCCGGCGGGCTGTTGGTCATTATCATTGCTGTTATAATCATATGGAAATGCAGTAAACCAAAGAACAGGTGCGACAAAACTGGTGATCTTTACAACATTTGTTATATTTATCACGAGAAATCAATCAATGAATGACGATTCAATGCAAGCCTAATGACAAGGCAATAATTTTTGTACAATTTTCTGAGGAGTAATGCTTCATGTCCTGGTAGGCTTGGAGGTCTTACGGTAATTGCATTAGAATATGGGTTGATTCCTGGGTGGACCCATAAGCTATACTCTTGGGCACTTCTCTACTTTCCAGGAGAGGAGTTAAAGTATAGAAAAGCAGCGGCCTGATCAAATCAATTCAAATTGCTTCAGATTAAAGTCAAAACGTGGGATGGGGTTGTATATTTATTTGTTCATTTTGTATCTTCATCTCAACGAGCGAGAAAGGCGGGTCCAAATGCATATTACTACTACAAACTAAAATGTCTAAGAAGATGTAAGGAGAAAGATGTACATGCATAAGTTTAAAATTCTTATATCTTGTTATATTTATGTATTTATTTTTCAATTTTGTATAATGTTTTATAGAATTCCCAAGCGCATTGCTGATTCTCCCAGAGAAAAATCGAAGCTGGAAATGGAAGTCGTTGCTGGTTCTATCAATGATGGATACAACAAGGACCAGCCAATTTGAACGATTGATAACCATCCGAAGAAGCAATACCTGTTTATTAAAAGCAGAAAATAATGATAAAAGGTTGAACTTAGTTAACGTAAATAATCCATCAGTTTTGCGCTGCGTAATTTCATATAATAGCGTAATTTTTGTAACTTTTTAAATTATATCAATAGTGGTGTGACCGACCATGTCTATTCTAATAGTCGCATTTCGAACGCGGATGTCTGCAAATTTAGATTTCATTATATACCCGTTGTCTCTCTCGCTCTGCAAGATTGTCAAATCAGGAGCCATGAATTTTACTGGAAGGTTATATTACAACAAGATTTTGCTAGGGAGACAAGTAATTGCTTCATTTAAGTATTGCCTCTCCTACGTCCGCTATAACCGACGCATAACCTGATAACGACATCAGCACGTTAGACAAGACAAATAAGACAAATCAAACAGACAAATCACAAAAACGATTAACGCCTTTAGTTTTATCTATTTGCTGTTTGTTAAGAATTTGGACATGTGTCGTCTAGCTGTCAGTAAAACTTAACGCTTATTAATCAGTGTGCCAATGATTATGATATGACGACTTTTTACGTCTATGTAGTATAACGATTAGCCAACCAGATTTTCTCTCCGAAGAACACTCACGAACAAAAACTGTTGAAACTTTGCATTGCTTTTATTTTAGCAGTTCACGAGTCCCAGTCAGAGGTGAGGATAAATTAACAAACTTTGTCGTTTAGAAGTCATAACAACAGCTTTGGAATAACATCGATCACTTTCCCATTTATTATTGCAAGTGGCTAATAAAGGTCTCCCAAATAAAGTTAGCCTTTTGGTTTGTCGTGATTCAGGGTACAGAGAATNCCCCCCCCCCAGACCCGGTCCCGTCCCTGTCCCCCTCTATATATTTATTATTCTGTCTCTCGTTACCCCTGCATCAGACCTGACCTGGGAAAGCAGAACTAAGCACCACAGGATCGATGATTAATTTGGCTTTACTGATCGTTGTTATAACTTAAATGTATTTTGCACATTTAGCGACGACTCAACATATCTCCTTGGGAAAAAGTTTTCCAAACATTGATATCATTAATAAGAGCTGAAAATATCTAGATGACATAACTATGTTGTACTTGATCTAATGTGTCTCATTTCCCTAAGCCTTTGCCCTGGCCCTTTGTTTCATATTTTCTTGCAAACATTTACGTAATACACTCAGCAGAGATTTTGTTTTTATTAGCGAGAGTTATGATCCAAACCGGCGGCTTGGAATGCACAGAAGAAGCGTAAGTGTTGCTCGAGGCGTCGCCGAGGGAAATTCTAGCTGCTTTTAGCACTCTCCAAATCTTCCAAGTGCATCATAACTCGGTGACACACAGCTAAAAGCATATATCGTCACCAATGGAAAAACAAGTTCTCTCGCGAATCATATATTGCACTATTAGTCACGTATAACTTAGTTTAACGTAGTTTGATAGGTCGCTTTGCCAGCAATTCAATGCTGTAAAAAAAACACTCGGCATTACAATATCCATGCACCTGCTATGTGACAGTATACATTCATTTAGACAGCTAAGTGGATTGAAACTGTAGTCAAGGTAACGACTAAAAATATGATCTACCGTTTCAATGGTTCTGTCGAGTCTCACGCGATTCTGCTTCTGTTTTTATTAGCCTAACCTCCCGGACACGATAAAAGCTGTGCACAAGCTAACACAGACCGCTCTGAAAATCAAGTGATTAATTCAAGTACTTTTAGGACTCTGTTTGTAAACGGATTGAAGAGTATTCACAGAAAGTGATGCATTAAAACATGCCGAGTTTCAGCATCACAAAGAAGTGTTAAAAAAAGAAATTGAAAAATAGA